TAAGTAATTAATAGTAATATTGTGTATTCATAAAATTACAATGATAAGAATGACAAAACAACATAACTACTAAATTAATATCCATATGAGTAGTGCCTAGGAGTATGATGGCTTTAAAGATAACATTAGCTAAACCACATATAATTGTTCTTGTTACTTTTGTCTTTATAGTTATTAATCATCCATTGAAGAAATGTATTTTAATTCACCTTGAATCACATTCCAGATAAATTTCATGGGTGAAAATGATTTGTTTCAAACAGGTACAACGAAGCAGGTGATCCCGAGGAAGTAATGTTGGTTGACCTCCAACTAAACCACAGAGTCTCCTTTGGCAACGACCTCAACTACTTCCTGTACACAAGCCTCGCGGGTGACGTCAGGAGGCCCAACCTGGACGCCCTTTTGGAGACCTACCGAGGCCACTTCAACACAGTGATGGAAGCCGGAGCAGGAGGCAAGGGGTGTCTCAGCAAGGTCGAAGTCCAGAAGGAATTCCGGAGCAAGAATATCATCGGAGCAATTTTTGGCATGTTGACTGTCAATTTCGTACTCTTGGATCCCGCGTCTTTGGAGAAGTATGCAGAAAATGATACAAAACAAGGTGAAGGTGAAAAGGACTTGAACAAAGATTTTGAAAAACTGAAGGAATACTTTCTGGCCATGATTGACACCAATCCTCTTATACGACCTCGATTGCTTGCTATGTTCGACGAGTTCAAAGAGTTTGGACTCATCCCCACATGAAGTCATTTGCTCCATGCTAAGACCTGGCCTTTGAACAACCTCTATTGGCAGTGAACTTGAAGACTGAAACTATTTGTAGTTTTAGTGCATCCTAATATGATATATGTCATTCGCTACAATTATACGTAGATCTAGATCTATGTGTGTCCATGCACATATACAAATATGTACACACACACACATATATATATATATATATATATATATATATATATATATATATATATATATATATATATATATATTTAAATCCCACTGATGCCACCAGTATCATATCCATATTTTTTCCAATACAAAATAAAATATATTCTTTCTAAATCATTTTGTCAAGCTCAATTTTTATACAATTAATAATGTTACTCTGTTATCGACACCAACACTTAGGGCTTTGGATTTGAAGGAAAGCCTGAGAAAAAACAATTGTGCCTTATCTAATTTTAATATGAGTAGCATGACAATGGTTTTAAAGTATGTGGGGTGGATTGAATTTATTCCTGTTGAGTTTGTGTACAGGATACAACGGTCATAGAAACACTTTTTTACCAGTTCCATTTTATTCTATAAACAAATAGCATATCAAATGTAAATCTTAACAATAAACATTAAAAGAAAAACAAGAAATATTCCCTTTTAATAACCTTCAAAATTTCTACTTTTCACCATGCTTTGTCATACTTATCATAAATCATTAATAATTACAGTGAAGATACTAAAAGCAATCATGAGACAGAATCAAAGCACTCACCTCTCATTCCCCTGGTATCTTTCTGTTATTTACTTGGATATTAAGTAATAAATCATATCGTTCTCTTTTGTTCCTTTCTTATGCTTTGCTTATATAATTCCATTCCCAATCTATTCCTTAGTACATTCGGAACTATCAACTTCGAATAAATACGTTACTGTAAATATGGGCTTTCCAAAAAATAAGAGAGAAATAAAATCTAAAGACATTGGGGCTAGTGAATCATGGCATGTTTGATGTCGACTCATTTTCCCCAACCTTTCCTTCTCTCTGTGTTCGGGGCAAAGCAATGTCTCAGTCTTAGTTCTCACAATTCAGGACATATGGATTCATAATTACATTAATTGACTTATTAAGCATTAGAACCTACGATATCCCCACTGAATTCTTAAGATATGAACAAACCAAGCATTTCTTGATAATCTACATAATTTTCTCTATTAGTTATAACGTTTCACTGGGGTTTGACAATTCTATGTGTTCCAAACATCTTTACAATTATAACTAATGCATCTCTTAAATGTCAAATCAATGTAGATCGTGACATATATACATACATAAATATAAATATATACATATATATATATATATATATATATATATATACTATAAATATACTATATATATATATATATATATATATATATATATATATATATATATATATATATATATATATATATATTATATATATATAAATCATATATATCATATATATATATATATATATAATATATATATATATATATATATATATATATATATATATATATATATGATATTATATATATTATTTATTATGTATATATATATATATATATATATATATATATATATATATATATATATATATATATATATATATATAAATAACAAATGCATATATTCATATATTTCCATATATATATTATGTACATATTAGTAGAGGGAACTAGGACAAAATGGCTTACCTCATTCACTAGGACAAGGTTGCTCCAGAAGTGACCATTACATGGGCATCTAATTTGT